TAACCTACTGATATTAGTAAATTGACAAATTATTTAATTTTAGGTATTAAATGTAAATTAAATCTAAAGTGTATGATGTGTAACTGTGTAAGGATTAGATACTGCCCATAACTTAACAAAATATCAATACCTATCTATTGTAGAAGTGTAATATATTATGTTATATGGCTTTAGGAAACAAAAAAAAAAATATTGTCAACAATTAATATAATTAATAACAATTACCTGTAATTAATTAATTAATAATAATATTTATAGTTAATAACAATATCATAATATTATTTTTGTTCAAATATTATGAGGTGGACAATTTCCAACAAAATGTTCAATATTTATATATTTAAAGTGAAATTGTATAAATAGGCAGTGTTGGGTAGTAACGTAACATAGCAAAATCACTTCTGCAGTAACGCTATAATGATTTCATTACATTTTATTTAAATTAGAGCAATTTATTGCAACAAAATTACTTTTTTTAAAGTAATTTCTATGAAGCAATATATAATAATCCACTTAATTAAAATAAGTAAAAATTAATTTCATTTATAATCCCCAACATTTTAGATTATGATCAACAAAATTATTAAAGATCCCAGGAATTAATGCGTATACATTTTGTTCATGTATAATATTAAATCATTAACAATGTTCCTACATGATAGATAATATACATTAATACCCGCTACACTGCTATATAATTTATAAAATACTATAACAAATAACACTTATCATTAATTATTGCGTATTATTATTTATTAGTAGTTATGGACTGATTTGCCAAAAAAAAAATTTATATATGTATATTATTACCGGTTTTGTGATATTTCAAAGAAGTTGTGCACCTAGGGTGTACTTACTAGTTAGTAGTTAAGGAGGTACCCACAAAGTCGATATTGAACTGATGTTACTGGCGAATGGTTATTATAGTGTTGTTGGTACAGCACAAATGATTTAAGAAATGCACCTGTACACCCGTATGCAGATACAGTTTTTGAAAAAAAAACCTAAGACGCGACGTAACATAATGTTATTACATGAGCACACGTTAGGCATGTATCAGGGAATTTGTCTTACAATTTAAAAATAAAATAAAATAATAATTATAATATATTACCTATATCAGTGATCTGTCTTGAAGTAAAAAAATATATTATTCTTATTGACTAGGTACCTACAATATTATTATGAATGCCTATCGCACAGGCTGCTATTGTTACCTGTTACCACCTGCTGTTAAGGATGCTGTATCAGGCTGGTATTACGTATTATGTAATATGTATCTATTCTACAGCTGTGTTACCAGATTACCACATTATTTTGTGTTGTTACCATGATTTAAGATCGAGGAGGTTACCAGCAGCTGCAGTTTCCTACAAGATTGCTGCAGCATACGTCATAATATGTGTGTCAAAATGTAATATACAATCAATCCACCTTGCCTTCTTATCTCATAAATGTATGATCGCTAAACAGAAGAAAATGAAAATATAACAAAACAATTATTAAAGACTCCAAAGGCATAGTAGTTAGATTTTTTAGTTACAGTATGAACTACTCACGAGAAACCATTTTTTCAATTCCCAATTCTTGACTACATAAGCCTATAAAAATTAAACATTTTATTTAACTTAGTTAACGTCAAATGCCTGTTCACAGAAATCGTGCACACTGTATCTATAGTATTTTTCAACTAAAACAATTTTTATCGACAATAATCTAAAAAAATACTTATATGAATAGAACATTTCTCATGCCTATAAAAAGCTCAAAAAGAGTCAATATGTATTCTGAAAATTGTACCGTGTTTCTATAGACAATACTATTGAACTATAAGTATATTAATATAGGTAAACATTTGGTTAAAAAATCATGTACCTATTTTTTTATATTTCTTTTTTGAGTTACACACTTACACCGTAAAAAGGTTAGGTTACCACTATCCTAACCCGTTACCGTATACCAAAAACCCAAAATCAATTTTGTCAAAACTGGTTTTGCGTAAAAATTTCGGTTTCTCCTAAATTTGTTTTCGTTTTTCCCGCCTCTTTTATAAATTTCTAGGAATTTTCAATTTTGACCACTCGAATACACTAAGTAGATTACGTTACATAAAAGTGTCCAGAATGCAGATGTGTATATTGGTGAGAGACGTCCTGTGATTATGAAAGCAATGACTATAACTAACCTAGAGAAATTCAAAATGTTTTCCTCTTAGCCCACGTATTACTGTATAAATAGTTAACTATATTTTTAATGTAGAGGAGAATGAATAGATTTAATTCGATAAAATGTTCTTTTTTAATTAATGAAACTAATGTAATTTTAATCTTAAATACATTATTATGATTTTCATAATAATACTGTTTGGAATTTTAGATATGCCCTTAAGGCTATGCCCGTGACAACCAAATACACGTTTATTATCTGGTGTGCCTTGCGTGTATTCGGCCTTGATCAATATTTTGTTTTTAATCTATGCTGCGATGCACATTATATAAATTTGTATAATTTATTAATATGCTTAAACACTTAGGTGAATAATGTTGTGTCTATTAGGCATTGTGACTTGGAGACCTTAACATCTTTAAGGTGACAAAACACGACGAGTTTCGCAATGTACTTATTCCTACGAAAATAACAACTTATTAGCTCATTTATAAAACCCACATCATATTAAATGATTTACTCTAATACCTTTATTCTATAAGAAATATATGTATATAGGTATAGGTACGCATAAAAGACAAACAAAAACAATAATTTAAGAAATTAAGTCTATATATGTCGCCGCCGGTATATTTATTAATAAACAATATATATATATATATAATATTACAATAGTTTACATTAAAATAAACATAGGTAATATAAATATTATTATTATTTATTGTTGTTTTTCCGGTACACCGTAGTACTGTAGGTACTTATACGCTTCATACCTACATTTGAGAAAAAATAAAAGTAGGTAATATTAAATCAGAATTAACAGAGTGTTATTACTTTTTACGTACCCACATTAATAGTATAAAAAAAAATACGGTTATAGATTTTGTTTTATACATTTATATTATGACTGATGCAGTTTGTGGTTATTTTTTAACGTTACATAATTGTCCATAAGCTGATAAACCACCTACGTATACTGGGTATATAGCATATGACAAATAGTATGTACCTATATAGTCTATAGGCTATAGAATATGCACCTATATAGTCTATAGCAGTGGTTCTCAAACTGTGGTACCAAAGCGAAAGACTACCTGTTGGTACATGGAAGGTCTTAAGTAACACTGAACCAGATATTTCATCGCTAATATCAAATCCACAAATCTATGGTTCTCATTGAAAATTTGTTATTTAATTCATACCTTAGTTTTTAAACACTAATCAATTTGTATTAATAAATAAATAATAACTATACCGTAGTATTTTACTGCATTTTATTTAAAATAAATGTATTTAACTATGTAAAGTTTGTATCTTTCTATTTTTAAGTGGTCCGTACTACGCGAAAAAAAAATTTGAGAACCGCTGGTCTATAGACTGTAGATACATAGGCTGTAGTAATATACCTACTCAATCATATACAGAAGAAATTAAGTAGGAAAATGCGTATTATAGATACGGGTTTCTGACCGATTGCCGCTTGGTAGGTACTGTTTTTTTCTGCTGCCAGTCTGTTTTTTTTTAATTTTTATCTATTTGTTTAACATAATATTATTCACCGTGTCATCATAACTTGTCATATTTTTTATTATTTTTAGCTGTGACATTGTTACGCTGTGTGGAGCTTAATGCACCTTCCATTTATACTGTCCGTTTTGAAAAGATATATTTTACATTTTTTAATGTTGATATCATATTATAATTCATAAAAAATTGCTTATTAGCATAAATTATTAACAGGGATGGTCTAGGAATGGGAGTGGTGTTCTATTATAATGCTATATTATAGACATAAATTATGTGCAACTTGATCAGTAATATATTATAAACGGGACTTGGAGCTTTTGGATCGAAGAGGTCCACAGTATTTGAGACATAAATTAAATGTAAAACTGTGTATTTAAAAAAAAATGTATGGTTTTATTTTACAATTAATACATAGTTAGCACAAATAGTTGGTTTTAGGAAACCATTCAGCTGTAGTAAAAGAATGTTGTACAATAATAATTGTTTATTACATTAATATAACAATATTTTGTTGCATTGAACATTAGTATGTACCGAAATACCAAATCATAATATTTATAAAAACTTAATTCTAAGTAAAATTAGGTTCTCATTTTAACTAACATTAAATATAGGTTAGCAAATAACTTCCACCTTTGTATAAACTTAAAAGTTATAACTCCCAAAAAGATCAATATAAATTATAAGTCAAATTCATTAATATTTTGCAATGAATTATGCCTACTAAAAATATTTTATTAAATATTGACCGTTTAGCTTCCAAGGAAGGTGAGGTACATTAGTCAATATCAATTGTATAGTAATAATTTAATAGGTATAAGATATGTTCTTAAAGTTAACATAAAATGCTTTGAGTTAAATTATACACATATAAAGACAGCGCCCAAAATGGAAAAATTATAGCTAATGTTATATTCCTTATATTTTTATGGTTTAGAACTTATTTTATACGTGAATTAAATTTAAACGTTAGATTTTAATATAAAAACGTGTTTTACAGCTAGGCATCTCAATTGATTTTTTATTGGTAAATGTCTTATAAAGACCACATATTTATCGTTGAACATCATACTTTCAAGTTACATTGTTGTATGATAACATATTATACACATTAAATACCTACCTATACATTGTGCATAATAATTTACATCTAATATCATGCATAATGTTATGTTGAGTGCTTATTTATATTGTACCTATATCATATGTATAGCATGTCTCTCACGTGTTTGTCCCTGTCATACCATTTTTATTTTGAAAAATTGTTATTTATTATATTTATAGATTTACAGGGCCCCAATTATTATAGTTAATACAAAATGTTGGTAAAAATGTTTTCATAGTAATTTTCTTAATAATACAACACAATAAATCTAAACAGCTTATGTAAATATTTCAAAAGTAAAATGATAAATTTTAATTTTTCATAGGTACCTATTCAAATAGTTGTGCAAGTCTAAATTTTGGCAGGAGCCGGCGAGTTAAAGTGAAATATACATTTATATACATAGTTGCGATGAGTGACAACACAGCCACTTAGGTATTTTTGCGTATATTATACTATTATATTTGGTAAGTATGACTGTTTGAGGACAAACACGTCGTGACACGCCTTATATAACCCTTTACCCATATACTATGTTATATATTATTATTTACGTTCTCGTAACACTAACATATGATCAAATTTAGTTTTGCCAAGTAAACAAAAGTAAAAATTACATTTACTCAACAATCTGTTTGCCTTCATACTTCGTCCCGTTGACCCGCCTACTTCAGCTATAGGTTTAACCTGTAAAACGAAATATATTTTTGTATTACGTGCGTTTTGTTCCCAATAAACGCCTATTTAATAGGACCTATACTTAATACTATATAATGTGTAGATATTATATTGTATACATATATAATATAATATTTTCAATTAAATTTGTTCAAAACTTCAAACATAATAGGTATACTCAACAAATGCGTGGAAGTTGAAAAGAACGATACCTATATTATCTTTTGAAACAGGGTATAGTTCAAAGAAATACGCATATACTTTAGGTACATAGGCTACATTTACATATAGATATATGATATTGTTTTACTGAAGCTGAAATTCGCTCATTGATGTTCAGAGGGTGGGGGAGGGGGGCAATGTTATTTGTTTAAGTATACCTAAATACATGATTATGACTATTTTTTGATTTTAACTCACTTGCGTCTCGTCTTCGGACACCCACGTTCTGTTTTCTCCGTCGACCGCTCTACTCCTGCTCGCACCACGGGTAATCGGCGTTCCCGCCGCAGCAGCCGCTGGTGCAGCCCCCCCTAAGCCTGCAACCCCAGGACCAAACAGCCCAGACAGCCCCGTGCCCAATAACCCCGTGGTGCCCAACAGTCCTGTCCCCAATATGCCGTTGACGCCACCCAATATGGATGGAACGGCCCCATAACCGAAACCACCGCCAGCCCCGTAGCCTCCGTTTTGCAGACCTCCATAGCCCACGCCACCAAATCCGGGACCGCCTCCGAATCCTCCACCACCACCGCCACCACCGAATCCATTACTGTAGCCGATCCCGTTGGCATACCCGTGGCCGAAAAAGGGCCCTCCGAAAAATGACTTCAATGTAGGTATGAGTAGTATTAATAGCGCATGTAGCAGAAACGCCAGAAATGCCAGTACCGATATAAATGTTGACGGTTCTAGGCCAAAACCTAAACTATAAAAAAAAAATCAATGAATAATCTAAAATGATATTTAAGTAAAAAATACGAGTAGAATATTACCAAAAAATTGTGTTTATAATACTATATATATTATATATATATAACATATCACAACCGACTATATAACCACAAAACGACGTCATAACAAAAATATAAATTTATTGTTTGAACATTTCATTTAAAATTAATGAATTATATTATTTTAAACATGGATATTAACTGTGTATCAATAAGATTTCTTGGTTCATTGTTCTTAAATTAAAAAACAAATACATTACAAGTTAATAATAAGCCCGAGTACGTAATTAGGTATTCTAAATTATGCATGAAAAACAAACATTTTCTTAATTTGAACTAATTGACTTTGTGTAGATACTATGGAACAAGTTGTCGAATAAATAATATTATTTACACTGGTACCTTATATGTATTACATTTTAACTGATTTAACAATACTGTTTATCCTAAACATAGTTAATAGTGTGTGTTATTGTTTCAAATGTCATTAATAACAATTAACAATATCAATAAAAGTATCTCGCATAGATTAAGGATGTATTATTTTAGCGTTACATTGGAATTTTTTTAATTTAGTTTAAATTAAATCAATATTTTATTAAACTGTACAAATTATTTTAAGAAGCTAATTAATTAAAACTATATTATTGTTATTTATAGTTGTTTTATAGAATTTATTATTATTACTTACCCATTGCCTCTGGATGGTTGATAATCGTCAATACCATAAGACCTTTCCATGTTCACAACTGCATCCGTGACTAGTGAGTAATGTTTACTTTTGAATGTTTTCCGGCTATTTATAATAAATTTGAAAATTGTCCTGCATCCAATAATTTCTGACTAGGTAGTAGTCGTATTTCCGTTACTTTTAGCCGTAGAACCGTATCGGAGGAGGATGTCAAATGCAAGAAACTTGAAGTAGATACATTTCAACATTTGATAATCAAAACTGTCACAATTTGAACATATACAAATTCAAACAATTGCACTGCATGTAACCGTGACGGTTCAGATAGCTCAATTATAATGTTATATTATTTCTGCAACAATTATATTATAAAGACTTTGAAATATAGACCACTTGGTTAATAGTATAAGGCATATAATACGTTTACTGTATTCTTGGTATTTAAATTATGTACTTTTCGAAAAACGATAATACACACATATATATATATATCTACTTTAACTACAGTCCACTCAGTCCATATAACTATATAAGCATGTACTTAACATATGTAAGTTAGGTACCTACCTAATACATTTATATATTTAAGGATACTTAAATAAGATGTTATCTCTAAGTTGTAACTAAAAAATTGGGAGTTTTATTTTTCAAACTTTAAGGCATAATAGTAGGTACATATTGTGTATTTGTGCTGTAAGGGTGGGAAGTGAAATTGTCTTCCCGCACGAGCCACACAAACTATTTTTGGTCACTCGTTCGGGTTTGAATTTGTCGATCACGGCAAAGGTAATTCAGGGGTCTATGCAACAACCAGACTACCTATTCTACGAAGACTATTTCACGAAAGAAAAATGTTCAGGATGGAACCGCTTGTGAGTTGTGATAAATAATTCCAAATCAAATTTGTTACAACTTATAAGTTATAATCATTAATCACACACGTATTATTTTAATACCTTTATACGTTTTGTCTAGCGTTCTAGCCGAATACAACGTGTCCAACATGACCTGAAATATTAAAAAACGTTTGCGCGTCATCTGAGGAAGTTATAATATGAATATAAGATGTAACCAAAATTGTATGTTTGTAAGGACCATGGTATAGATTTCAGTGTCTGGTTGTGCCCAGCACTTTTGGTGATTTCAATTTTACCAACGCTCCAACCGTATTCGAAAACTAAATTTTCGGTGCAAACTGCAGGCGTGACAGAAATATATATAATTGTTTAATATTTTTAGTGTTTCATTTAGCAATCATCACAACCAAATTATTATAGTATATTATTTTTATTGATGTATAATACCATACAATTTAGTATTTCATTGCAGTCATACACTTAAACCAGATGTACCATATGTTTATATAATATATTATTATAATATTGATTTTGGTAGATTTGTTCTTTTCCAAAATATAAAAATTAGATATTAAGTTGAAAATCGAGATGAATAATACAGGTAGGATTTGATTATGCTTGCCTGAAATATTAAATCACAAACTACAGTTTGTAGTGTTTGCGCACCACTTACGGTATTTTCGCAATATTATTTAAGATTTAATATTTTTTACCTGAACATAGCAGAAATATTTATGAGGATCAAATGTCAGTGAAAAATAATTGTGTATTAATTAATTATTATTATTTCATAATTCATAGCTGCTTAATATTATATCATAAAATGCATATATATTTATTATTTATATAATTATATAGGTATATATAATGACATGTTATGCAGTTACTGAGTTACATACTACTCATTTATGTATATAGACCAATTTGGTAGATGATAATAGGTTAGAAGTCATCCACAAATTCATAATAGGTAATTATTATCTGTGCAGCTAAGTGCCGATGGTGTATTTTGCAATTTTGCTGCTGAAACAAAATCGTGTGATCTATTACACACAGTCAGCTTTACTGGTTATCAGCATTAAAATTAGAAACAAATACCAGTCTAACATAAGTATCATAAATATTATCACATTATTTTGTATTATTGTTATGGTTTCTATAAACAAACATTAATGTCTGCAACGATTTACAGTAACTATAAAGATTTTATATTGTTTTATACGATATCGAATATTTAGCAACAGAGTATAGGTAATATAGTCAGACTATTCCCTTTATCTATCTATGGGCATATTATATCGTGTACCTACAGTCCACCTGTTTATAAAAATATATTGTACGTACCTCAATGAGTTATCTGTTTACTTTTAATTATAAAAAGCAAAAAGTGGGCATTGACTAGTTAAAACGTCAACTAAGCTAAACAGTTTTTTTGATTTTAAACTTTTTAATCTTGCTAGTTGATTAATTTTCTAATGAACTTATAAATTGAACTATTTTAATTTGCTTTTGAAATAACTTTTAACAATACGGTTGTTTTAGTTGATTTAAAAATAACCTATCAAGTGTTTTTGAAATTTTTAGCTTTATACATTAATATAAATTATAAGGTAATTACTATAGGACACTAAATACTGTACACGGGTTTTAAATACAAATGATGGGTAATAGGTATACACTATAATAGTCACTAATACTTTAGTTTCTGTTCTATTTCTAAATAAAATAAAAATGTTTAAAAATGTTTCTAATAAAATAATATATATTATATTATAAGATGGACACAAAATATTCTTTATGTGATTCGCGTACCTACTAACTAAAAAAGTAGATTAACTGAGTTAAATTAATATAATTTTCCATATTAGCTTTAAATTTGACGAGTTAATGAGTTATATTTATTATTAGTTAACTATTAATTATTAACTTCTAACCTAACGATCTTGCGTTCACTTAACTTGACACACCTAACTTGCGTTAATTATTTTCATCAACTTACCCAATTCTGTTCTTTGTTCTTTGTACATGCATATATAAATATATTAATAGTAAAATAAAACAGTATTACACGGTTGTAAGCGATATAAGTTTCATCAGTTTTGACTTTATAGAAAATAATATTTTCAATAAGAATGTTATATTCTGATATTCGTAAGGCGGTTTTTATGAAAAAAAGATTTACTGATTAATTAACCTGCTCGCAAGAATGTAAAGCTCCAAGCTGGTACCTAATACTGGCCATTTTGTGCATAAACGTATCTTTAATTTCAAACCTGTATAATAACATTTATTGTCATAATATAACCATGATGGAAATTTAAACATAATTTATTTATTTTTATTTAAGCATGTGTATCTAATTGAATTAAATACAATCATAGTAAATCAAATATAATATTCTTATACATATAATACAACATAGAATAGACGTTTGATTTGTTCTACTTTGCCGGGATACTTTGGAATATTTTCCTAGATTTTTTTAGCTTAGTTTTTCTGTATACATCCATTGTACGTGTAGCCCACTACATTAAACATTCGTTTTCAAAAATATCCTCTTAAGTTAATAATGCTCATAGAATATTTATACCTCAAAAACAATATGCCATTTAATGAGCAAAGGGCTTTTACAATAAATAATCAAAAATAACTATAGTTACTACAGTTTTATCAAAATAACCATATTTATATGTGGTTGGCTGAGTTCATAACCGTATTACCGTTTTTATACTTTAGACATAATTTCAAATCTAATCTGCATAAGTCATAATATAGAAAATAGAAGAGATAGCGGTCTTATATTGATACCCTGTATTATAATAATAAATTTTAAAATGTCAAAATTTCCTAAAATTTTTTTTGATGTTTGATTTACTTATAAATGTGTTAATTTTTATGCTAAAGATTTTAGAAGTATCATAATTTTAATAAAACCTTTAGTTTATAAACATTAAACCTTTACCATTTTTCTTAGAACTGAGCATTCTTTCAAATTCAAAAACTTATTTTTTGGGTTTTGTGCTCTAATGTCTCTACTCATAAACATGACTTAGTGACCCCTGATTTTTATTAAACCATCAATAATTCATCATTTTCTTTGTGTAACCCGGTGGGATATTACGACTACTAATTCAAATTCTATAGTTCGGATCAAAGCCACGGTAGTCAGGTGTGTGTTTTGTGTGTGTGACACTTTTCAGACCTCCAAGGAGGGCTATGGTTTACTTTGCTTTGTCGGTTGGCCTATATGGCATTAACAGATATTCAGACGTGAACCTATGACTAGACTAGAGAATTGGTATTTTGTTTTATGTTTTGCTTTTGTGTAAGTAGCAATGCATGCTCAATCTAGGACCTAGGTGGTGAGTATTTCTAGTTAGAGGGGGGTGGTGTTTGTGTGACCGAGATCACGGTCTCAACCTTCTCTAACCGAATGCTAATCGACCTGCCATACATAATAATATAATAAATGTTCGGATTGAAGCCGTCAAGTGGTAGAATAGACAATCATTGCTTCTAAATTTAGTCATAATTGGAGTGCGGCAGACCGCTAGATGCTGCTATATTATGCTCTATTCTACGTAGGCAGTAAATTATATCGCATGTAATAACATCGTAATAAGGACCACTGCAATGTAACAAATGTGGTTTAATTTTTTTCTTGATGACTGATAAATGATAATGATAATCGTACGAAGATGGAGTATTAATTATTAGGTTACAGTGAATTCAGCATTAAATTACTTAAAACTGTTTATTTGGCAATAGTTCAACAAATTATATCATAATAATATGGTATTTCAATCTGGCTAGGCACTTATTTGAGACTGCAGTTATCGCCTTAAATTACTAATTTAAATAATCTTAAAAATTAATTCTATGCAAGCCAATATAGACTTTATCCTTCATACTTATTATATTTCGAGCTTAATGTTTTTTTTTATAAAAATAACATAGAAAATTGTACGTTCAGAATAAATAATCCATTTAATTATGTTAAATTTATATTATAATTTATAACTGACCTATAATAAAATATTAAAATTTAGAAGTAAGAATATTAATGAATCTCTGATCTCATAGGTTTTTTTATATTTTATATTTCTGATTCTCAGCGGAACGATGACTGTATTGATTTTACAATGATGTGTGTTTTTTTATTTATTTATTTTTGTGTTGGCCAGCGCAGTTTGGGGCAGTAAAACTGTAAAAGTGCTTCGATTTTCTTTAACATCAACTTTTATGGTAGGAAGTGAATCTAGTTGATGCAACCGAGATGCCAAAATTTAAAATTCATTAAAGTTTTCAAAACCGACAAAAAATTAAG